TACACTGACAATCTTATTCCTGGACACACAACTTCAATGGCAGAGTCCAGTTTGTGCTGCATACTAGAAACCACACCTAAGACTAAAGATAGCGAGATTAAAATCTACATCCACAGATCCTTATTTACTTGTGCAGTTATTTTTGTAGTGAAAGATCTCATAGGTAACAGTATACATGACTAGTCCTGCATAAAAGGTACCCTCAAAGTTCTGCCTGAAGTAGTGATTTAAGGTCGGATTCTGTACACTTCTATGTACCACAATTTAAAGGAAGTTTTTAAATGCATAAGGAACACGCAGTACAAATATGCAAGTGCAAGGAAGTTTGGGTAACAGGATAATAAACATTCTGTAATTCATCCAGTGCTTACACGTAAGAAATGTCTCTTCAGTCAGAGCCAAAAAAGCGTTTGTTTATTTGGCAAGTGTGAATACTTGCTTACTTCTACACACAAAATAAAGAGACTCCTATAAAAACGTAGAAATGAGCACCAGAAAACAAGCCTCTTGGCAAGAAAGAGCATCAATATGATTGCTAAGTAGCATCTACAAGGTTGGTATGAGAGGTGGTGAGCCAGATGGCAGCCACAGGAACAGCAACCTCTGCCACACCAGCTGAGATAACAGATAAAACCTGACAGCAGTGTTCTTCTTAGGTGGCTGAAATGGAATGTACTGAACCTGTTAGCTATCTATTTAGCTGAGATCAATACTTGAATAGCAACTCAAGGGTAGCAAACGGCTAAAGCATCACATCGCACTCTTCTTAGTAAGTTCCACTAAAAAGTTCAGCAGCAGACAGAGCATGTTTTGAGACCAGTGCTATGAGCCTACACAGCATTCCTATAGAAAACCAACCCCTGGAAACAGAGCTGATGGGAATGACTAGCGAAAGCCTCCATTTTCTCCCACTGAATTTCTCAGCGCATCTCCTCCGTGCTTTTTAGGCATCCTTAAAAACCTGTTGAAATCTTTTTATCTACTTTTAAGGTTAGTCCATGTATGCCTTGCATTGCTAACATTTATTTTCCATAAGCAACATCAGTCCCATCATTCCAGAAAATTACTCATGGAAGGATTATTCTAAGAAGTCCAATTCATTGAAAAGTTTAAACGTGTATATATAACTATTTTACCTTTTCTGAAAGAACCATGGGTATCAGGTGTTTTGTACTACAAGTTAGCAAAGGAACAAAAAAGAAAAAGAAATTACTTTTCAAACATAGCCATCTCTGGAAGCATTATTACAGCGCTTTCTCATGGCCTATCTTCTGCACATAAGGACATGCTATTGCAATAACAATTTACCAGACAGGAAGTAGGGAAA